ATAAGTTCCACAATCCCCTCTCCAACAACATCATTTCAATATGAAGTTTTTCGCATCACTGCAGAAGAAAGACATGAGTGCCAGATAAGCGAAAGTACAAGCAGACCGCCCATTTTAAAGATATCTTTGTTGCTTTCACGACCACTTATAGATCAAACCAAAGTTGACCTGAAAAGATGAACACTTCAATTGTAGTTTACTGAGCAGGAAAATTAACCAATGGAAACAAAAAGTGCAGATTTAAAAAAGTACCCTTTAGACAGCAAATACACTGAAAATGACTTAGGCATTGGAGTATTATCATCAGAAAAATACTCGCAGACCAACCAGTGTTGTTTTGCAAGTTTGAGGGCCAAGAAACTTGTGAAGCGTGTTATTTTAGAGGTTTTTTTGAAGTCACTATATATATATATTATATATATGTATTTGCTCCCGGAAAGGCATTATTCAGAATTTTGTTAGAATTGGGCATATTGAGGACTAGGTTTGAGAAAGAGAAGGCATATTCTTGTCAAGTTTAATTTTCTAGCTCACTAACTGTTCAATGATTTACCTATTTGCATAACAAAACTCCAACACCACAACAAATTGAAAACAAAGTCTTCTTAAAAAAAAAATGCGCTGCTGACTTTGCAATTCACTTATTGAAATACGGTTCATGACAAGCCACCTTTTAGAAATAACATTGTAAATATTCACAATTAGGGGGAAAGAGGGAGGCAGGAGAACAAATCAATACATATAGTTCATCGATTGGGAAAGAAAGTACCCCTGCTCGGCGACAAATGTCAAGGTAATCATCCAAGATCCTATACATGATTTTTATCTCCACTTCTTTGATTGTCCTGAGTTCATCTTCTCCAAGTTCGTCCACCAGAAAATTCCCATTAACTACCAGAATCGCAAGAGGAAAAAGCAAATAAAATTAACAGCATTTTATAGAATTTCTCTTTCTCATTACTCTAAAAAAAAGCGGATTAACATATCAAATGTTGACGCTACTCATGAAATCTCTGTAAAGCTTGTCATTCAAATAAAAAATACAAGGAAATAAAAATCTACACTGACATCGAGATCACCCATGTATATATTTGCATATAAACCCTGAAAGTACTGTTTGTAGAGAAACTTACAGATCATCTGGGCTGGCTGATGAACATGAAGAATACAAATAGTCCTGGCTTGGAGACTCTCCAGTGCCCATAACAGAGTCAACTTGCTTTCTTCGACATCTTTCCCGACAGCAACGCACACTGTATCATCATGAACCACGCGTGCCATTTTTCTCTGCACCTGTTCAAATCACCGAGAGCTGCCTACATGGAAGAGAAGTGGAAACATGGATATAAGCTATAAGAATCGCAATGCTGAATTACCCACTAATTTCCTTGTTTACGGGAAGGAGTTTCCAAGTCAAGTCAAGTCTAAGTCAATAATGGCAATGGCCGGTAGGAATTATAACGCTTTTGGATGATTTTTGTTGTGAATAATTAATCTATGGTAATGTATGGTAATTACATAATATAATAATAATAAAATTATATATTAATATATTTAGTAATAATATTTTTTTTTGAATTGATAGAATAATGTAATTGTATATTTAGTTAAATTATTAATTTATTTTTATTTTATTGTAGTCATTAAATTTATAAAATTATTTAAATTATAATTTTTAATAGTTTTTTTAAAATATTAAAAAATAAATTTATTATTAAAAATAAAATTTTAATTTTTTTATAGTTAATATAAAAAATTAATTTTTTTGTTATAAGTTAAAAAAATTTAAAGAATTATATATTGTATAATATTTATTATTATAAGTTTTATGATATAAATAAAGTAAATAAATAAATTTTATTGATAATAATTTTTAATTTTGTTAATTTTTAAATAATTAAATATTTACGTACATTCAATCAACTTACATATATAAATTATTTTCTTATTAATACGTACTCGATTAATATTTTTTTTTTGTAAAAAAAAAAAGAAAATGAATAGTCGTATAAATATAAGAATTTTAAAAATACAACACTCGTTAAAGCACTTCAATTACAAATCTAACATAAATTAAATACTAAAGAACAATAACATAGTTTGATATTAAATATCTACTTTCCTAATTATATATTAATATTCTAAAATATTTTTTCTAAATTTTTTAAGAAATTAAAAAATTAAAGATTATAAATCAACAAGTTTTAAAGTTCGAAATTGAGATTTAATCTAAGTCATTACGTGATAATTGAAGCAACCTACTTAACAACAAACTATGTCGTTCAGGAAGACATTCTATGAAAGCAGTAATTATGTTTGGTTTATTCACAAGAAACATACAAACTCCTATTTCTTCATGTGGATCAAGACCCAAACGAGCAATCTCTTCATACAGTTGGCTTTCTAGAACACGAGCTTGTGTATTTGTTGTAATTTTTTCGATTGTTTTTGCAACTAGTCCAACTTACTGAGCCAGATAATCTTCCTATGGGATAGTAGGCAAATATTTCGATTTCTTTTGTCTATAGGAAGATTGTGATTTTGTTGGGGTTGTAAAGTAAGAGTTTCGGACGTTGGAACATCGTTCATCGGATCCACACCCTCAAAATTAAAATTGCCACCTAAATTTTGTGGGAGTTGATGGTCAATCTCCTCAACGCTCATTGCATGTTCATTGCCACTTTTTTTCCTTTATCCTTGACTGAAACATGTTGTCTCACAACTAGCCCCATTGGCTCTGTCCATTCCATACATTTATATCATTTTGTCGTAATTCCGCACATGTTTATTCTTTAGTTCAGATGCTTCAAGTTGAGCTTTTGATGAAATAATATCTTAACATTTAAACTATATAAAATAATGCAAACATGTGATAACTAGGTGATTTATCTTTATTAGTTGCTACCACACCTCCTCTTCCACTTTAAATCTTTCAGTTGTCAGATTTCAGGAAAAATCATTCAATCTATGTTTAAAAACATCATACCATTTGAAGAATTATATTTTTGATGCAGTTGTGAATCTGCTCTTTATCAATGATTGTGTTTGGAAATGCATTCCTCAATTCAATCACGATACAATTAATAGCTTGTGTGATGAATGTCCCACTAGATCTACGGCCCAACAAATGCTGATTATAAAAGACATCTACTAATACATCATCCAGAGAATCTATACATTGGATAGTGTTACTCCCTCCATCTACAGATCTGTTCCTCCTTGCCATTTTATAAAATAGACAGCATAAAATTAACAGATATAGTTATATACCATAGAACACCAACAAATATAATCATATAATCATACAGTCATATTTAATTCAACACAAACATATATAACCAACATATATAATCATATATCATACAAATTCTAAATTATATTGTTCAATTAAAACAATAAAATATCTCATAAGTCATAAACCATACAAATGTCATAAACAACACATGTGGTTCAAATTGTTATCAAACATTATAAGCAGCCCACATATCAGCTGCTATATGATCTCTAGTAGTTTCCCCCTTCCTTGTTTCCTCAATACTATCCCTAATGTATATTGATTTAGTTCATTATGATAAATGTGCTGAAGTTTTTCATCAACCTCTGCAAGAAATTCATCATTTGGATCTTCTCCCCGTAAGTAGTTGTGCAAAATGCAACAAGTAAATATAATGCGATTAAGAGCCTTGATACGATAATAAGGTTTAATAGAGCTTGAAATAATTAGGAAACATTTCTTAAGAATTCTAAAGGTACATTCAATTGCATTGCTTAAAAAAGCATGATGAAGATTATAAATAGTCACGAGCATTGTGTGGTGGATTCCTTGAGTTTTCACTTAAATGGTATCATTCTCCCCTATATGGAATGATTATTGCATCATGCAACATGGAACTGGCATCCTTGAGGTAGAACTTACCTATAAACAATGAATAAATTGAGTTATAATTTTTTTTTCAAACTTATACATTATATATTAAAATTCAATATATTTTATTTACCTTCAGGAATAACTAAAAGATTCTCAAGTTTGTTTAATGCATGCATTAATATTCTTGAATATGATGTGGTGTCCTCCCACCTAGCTAGGACGTATGAAAATTTCAAATTGAATGTACAAGTTATTAATATATTTTGTGTGAGAAAATCTTTTCTCCCACGTAACCTTAGATCATCACTTTTAGACACTTTCACATGTACATGTGTTCTATCAATCACACCAACACAATTATGAAATTAATTATTCTTTAATTAATTAAACTTATTCTTATTTTTAAAAAACTTAATTAAACCTGTAAGTTTTGAAAAATTATAAATTTAATAACTTATATATTTACCTTAAAATATGAAAATAATCTAGGATTGTTGGTTATTTCTGAAGGCACTTGTGATCCATCTGGCTAAATAAGAAATTTATATACTATTTGTACTATACATCGTAGCACATTATAGAAATGACGACTTGTCATCTCTCTGAATCATCGAAAATGTCAAGATAGGACTCGATTTCTCTCATTATGTCCTAATAAGTAGAGTGTCCTAACAACTTGTTCCTCCATAGTTGCACGAACAACATGCCTAAGTCCACCATCTATAATTAACAAACGACAAATTCATAAAGGTTAGAGGTCTCATCCTAATGATGTGCTGACAAAACTCACTTGAGACCAAGCTTTTCATCAGCTTATCTTGAACTTTCTCTCTCTCTAGTCGTAATTCATGAATAAGCAGAAGCTTTCTCCTTTTATGAACATAAATCGCAATAAGTGTGACAAAGTACCCCACTAAAATTATTACATGTTCCACAAGATCCATCTTTCTTATCTTATGGGGAAACAGAAAACAAGAATAAGTTTTTGCAAATATATCCTCAATAAAAAATTTTACACAAAGACAACATAATCCTCGTAAAAAATTTTTGTTTTTAGGGACAAGATCAGGGTATCAAATAATAGGATTCACAGCTCTAAGTCCTAAGTTCCACTTCCCTTTCTAGGTCCTAAGATCTTCTGAGTCCTTTTTCTCTTTAAAAGAAAAATTAGTATAATATATATAACCTCCAAGGAAATGCAACCAAATACAAAACATAACAAATTAGTAAAAAAATCAACCAATATATATAAAAACATTAAGCACAAAACATATGCACCAAACTAAAGCAACATTTGTCTTGACATTCTTCAGGTATTAATCAGCTTGTTAAAGGATGATATGTGTAGGAAAAAGAAACACAAAAACCTTCTAGCTCTGGGATTAGCACTTGGACCAATTTTTATGATCGTGGCTATCAGTGTCATAAAAGTCAGTTGGATATATTTAGGGCTACCTAGATTTATTACATAAAGTACTGAAAGGGATCTTGAAAATATAATTTTGTAAAGTCTTCCAAATTTATTTTTTAAGGTTGAAAAAAAATTAATTTCTACTACCAATCACTTCCTGTATTAGATAACAAACAAAGAAAGCTCAATAACAATGCAATAATAACTATAGTTGTAGTTTATATGCCTTAAGTTGATGGCACAAGATCCTCCATAATGTTCCAATCTCTACTAACCCATTTCCAAAGAATAGCACCATAAACTTTTCTCTTTTGTTTCCAACTCTCTAATCCCTCCTAAAAAAACAATACCTTGCACAAATAACCTTCCTATAAATGTCACCCTTACTAGCCATAAAATGTCAAAGCCATTTAAATAAATCAGAACCATTCACTGCTAATGATATGGTAAAAGGTGGTCATTTAAAAGACAAAAAGATACCATAAGAATTAAAAAGAAAACATTGAACAACCAACATAAAAGTTGTGTCAAATGTGGTAAAGTTATTCACCCTCTTAAACAGCATGAAAAGTTGTGTCAAATATACAATATTAGAGTATAATAAGTTGGTTGGCTAAATATACGGTTAAGCATACTCATATCTAGATACAATCTTAACGCCAATCAATCAGGGTTGTGATGTTAGAAAACAAGTCATGCACATCTTGATTAGAAACCTTTCTCAAACAGCCTCCAACCAAGTAGATGATCTTTTCATTTAAGAGCTCATTTAATGGATTTCTTTAACACTTTTATGTAATCAATATCTTCCATTTGTCTAGAATAATCTATATTTCCATAATATATGCATATATATATATATGATATCTATAAGATTATACATATGGAAATTGAGGATGTATAAGTTATTATAAATGAAAAATGGATTCCCTTTATACAAATTGTATGGGAAGAGGGAGAGAATGTGGGAAAACATTGAAAACACGTGGACTTGTGAGCACTTTCCCCTTATGAGGGAAGGACAAATTAACTTTTGCTTTTATCCCAACTCTTCAACAGGCCAATTCCTCCAACTACCTGAAAGAGATTATTTAGTTACGATGCATTGCAGCCTCGAGAAGAAAGAATTCAATGAAGGGATT